TTCATTCTGTCATGTTTGCTTCCGTTGTTGTCCTTGTTGCTCCGGAAAACGTTCGTGTCAAACGCTCAGCCAAACCAAGGTTAGAACATTTTCTATCGTTACAGCAAGACAACATTCTTGCATTTGACGTTGGATGAGTGGGAACGTCTCGCGTAAAACTTCAAATTAGCATAGGACACTCCTGGTCCCGGATCTTGGCTGTGCACACAAATTCTTGGCGCATCTTTCTTGGCGCATCTCACGACAAATCTCCTACTGAATACAGCAGCGGTCAGCGATGGACATCTGGAGTCTAGAGAGCTGTTCTTGGTGACCGTTGTACCCAGATGACGTGCAGAAACAGGTACGGCCTCCAGCGGAGGCAATGCCGATGATGTTCTCTAGGAACAAAGAACCAGGGTTCATTGCCGTATGCTCGGCTCGTCTCTACTAAAAACGATGGAGATCGGGACTCTCTGGCGCCGTTCGATGGAATTCCAACATGGCCAGTAGCAAAGTGATGCCTGGAATATGTGCATTACAAGCAGTATCATGGTTGTAGACGGTGTCAGAAGCTGTGCTGATCCCATAGCTGCTTTCGATCGACTCTACATAGTACATAATAGCGGACACCAGTGAGCACTTCGTGAGAAAACAACGCGACAACGAACGGTACCAAAAGAAATGTTGAGAATCAAGGTCATCAATAACATCATTATCACAGGAAGTGCTTGATGATTCCAAGTTTCCCCCATTCGAAGGGCGGGCGTGAGCAATCTTGCTGCTCGATCCTATAGGTCAATCCCATCTCCATCATGAAAGCAAGAAGACATGGCGCCTTCCCAGCCTTTCGACCAATCTTCTCACGTCTTTTGCACAACACATGAAGTCACTATCCACCAGAGATCAGTCGATTGGGAAACACCAATCGGCCCTCGCGACGCAGTGGCCCTGAGTTCGATCCCACAGAACCTGAGTGCCACCTCACCGCACCGTCAGCCTGCGGCTAGTTTTTCGCTTCTGTAACTCGAATTTGCAGCGTTTCTGGGAGCGCACCGAATGCCCGTGTGAGTACCTGCAACAGCCCTTTCTGCTGGGCGGCTCGCACTGCGCTCCGTGCGCTGCCACTGCGTTCCGCGTGGCGCAACTGGCAGCGTCACGCTGCCACTCCCGTGGGAGCGCCTTGCGTGGCATTCTCGGCGCATTTTTCAGGTACACGAAAGTGTCCGTCACCGCCGATGTCAGCAGTGCGCGCTCGGTTGCGGCAACAGAGCGGCAGTAAAAGACTGTCGCCTTTCCGTCCCCGTGACGATGGAGGAAGCGTCAGCTTCTGACATCAGGCATGAAAGCATTGACGATAAGTAGCTACACGAGCCATTTTTGGATACAAATGTAAAACTCCGTTCAAAACAACAATGCATGCTGTGCTCCGTCAACGGAAAGTCCCTGAGTCCATGGCTACCTGAATTCAATGACGAGTCAACATCACACATCATGTTCGGTGCTAAGTTTTTCACCAAAACGATGCTCTCAAAACGTGTTTGTATGTCAACAACGCAGTGTCTCGTCTTCCCAGTTGTCCGGCTCCGGACGACGTCGACAAGACCAGGCGGTGAGGGCGTGTCAGGGTGGCCCGGCACCGGCCCCTGCGCGCTCGAGGTCGTCCACTCTGCAGCGGGCCGACCGCGTGCAGTGGCGACGACGGCCACTCTCCAAAAACTGCACCGGTCCCGGATCCAGCTGGGCAGCCGCCACCCAAGGTAGACGTGGCCAGAGTCTGCTCATGACAGCTGAGACAGTGGTCAATCAGGTCCGTCAAAGCAGCAGCAGCCGGCGGCGCAGCGCTATCGTGGGATTGGCTGTCAGGCAGCAGATGCCGAAACCAAATCGTGAATGACGCTGGCTTCTAAGGGGTTGTTTTTTTTTTCTTCAGCAACTTCGTGACTGGCTGCATCTGATCGTTCCAATAGAAGTAGAATCTTCATTATCTTGGGCGTCAGCATAAGCAAAGAACGAGCTGGCAGTCACGAGGCGCAAGGCGCATGCAACAAAAACACAAAACTCTTCAGTCTTCAGCCAAAATGCAAATGAAACGATGTCCATGAAGGTTAAAACTGCTTCCTATTTTCCAACAAAACTGTCTCCCGGCTCACGAATTGCACATGCCCATGTGAGATTTACGTCAAGCAGCTCCACGTGCTAGCAAAGCCGAGCACGATCGGTCGGCGGAGCGTGCAGAGTGCCAGACAGTTGGTTCGCGGTACCGCCCTGGCCGAGTCCCGAAAAACACGCCGGCGCCGGCCAGCTCTGGACAAAAAGGCGCTACGGACGAGCGCGACCAACGCGGCGATAAATGAGCCTTCAGGCCGGACAGGCGGAGTGCACGGCGCCCTCCAGCACGGAAAGACGTCTGGTCACCGCCGCAGCCACGGCGGCCACGCGAACGCTTGATAGAATGCACCGTGACATCACCCAACAATGCGACTCATTTGCAAGACATATCAATTAGGATCACTTCAGTCATGGCATCTCATTGCTTATGGTAAGCGCTTCCAGTGCGGCTGAACCCAGATGGCCATGAAATTTCTATCGGCTTTGCGAACATGGAACTGGTTTACGGCGCCAACAACCCGGTAAATCTTCTGGGCTCTTTGTTGTCTCATCCAGTGCAAATATGGACCCAATCTTCACTCATCCCCTTGAGTCAGCCGACTGCATCCCACTCAATGGGATAACAAGAACCACCACCTTCCGTTGTTCAGTGGCATCGCTCATGCAAACAAAACCACGGCCTGAGTTTGCTCCCCACCACAGTAATCATGTGGCATGGCCTTCCGCAAACGCTAACCTATGCGAGGAGCGACGATACCTAGGCCGGGGAAAGTCTGAGCCGCCCGCGTAGCCCGACTAACCACTGTCGAGAACAGGTCTCGGGTCAGGTCGGCCCTGCCCGACGGGTCTGCCACTACTCGGTCCGGCGAAAACGAGCCAGCACAAGCAGGCAGTCGGAACAAAAACTTGCTGCCTTAAAAACCGGGTTCAGCGATGGCAGACACACGGATGCAGGTCTGAGGGCATTCGAGGCCAAGTGCACTGGTCGGCATGTCAGAGATGCAACTGATGAAGAAACGAATGTAGAAGATGCAAGGGTTGCCTGTCAACGAGCATGCGACACTCGCAAGGTCGTACCAGCGCTGTTGCCACACCACCCGCAACATGTCAGTACGAGGCCTGGCCATTTCCTAAATCACGCTCACGTCTCACAGGACAGGATCAGAATTCCCCGTGTGGCACGAGACCGCAAGCCTAACGGCGAGTAAATCACGCCTCGGCTTGTTACCGACACTAATTGATGGCGAATCGGCGGAAAATGCCAACGAGACGTGTGACAAATTTAGTCAGTTTCCCACGCCGGGCGACGAACGCGAGACAGACAGGAGTGGCACCACGACCTAGCGGCACGAAGGGGTGGGCCAGTGACACGATCGGCACCGGGGTCGGCTCCAGGTAGCAGTAGGTCTCCGGTCTACAGATATTAAGACAAAATGAGAACATAAAACTGAAAATGCAAACTGAAGGATGCTGCTGATAGCTAACAAATCAGCGGGGAGGTTACTTTTAACAAATACTTGAAAAAAAAATAGGACGGACGCATTATCTTGAACAATTTCTCTACAATGGAATTCACGCTTACCCAAAACTGAAATGTCTCTTCGTCTTAAAATGTTTACAAAGCAGTGATATGGTTATTTGGTGAAAATAAATCGTGCATCCCTAACTCGATACAAGCCAAGGCATCGTCGTAACTGATGCGCTGTCACACGGACACTACATCTGAATCGATCACGTCGACCTTCATATGACAGCTACACTAGCGAAACAAACAGGGTCGCATCCTTCAAGCGACCACCAAAGACAGACATTTTGCACTAGGAGATAAACAGGGCCGCATCCCTTAACCGACCACCCACCCCCAGACGCATCCCTGCCAGCTGGAGTCGGACAGCTGTGGACGATGTGACCACCACGGCCTTGAACGTCTTCACCAGCCGGTCCTATCACTATCCCACCAGCGACCACAGTCCGCAGTTTTGACACGGTATTGCCCGCTTCGCGTTACCTCGAGGCTGCAGACCGACCGTGGCGATAGCTCGTACTTGACACAAAACTATCACTAAAACATCGACCAACCATTGAAGGAGCTGACAACTCAACATCCCAACTAGCTGAGAAATAAACCAACCATTGTTCGTGAACATGACTGAATCGAGTAGTAACAAATTCACTTTTATTTTCGTTTCACGGCTGTTTCAAAACACCATTCTGGGTCAGCGAAGTCCTGCGGCCGTTCCGCTCAGTTTAGTGCACCCTGTGTGGGTGTTACTCCACACACGTCCCCTACGTGACTGTTGCCACCAGGCGCGTGACGACCCCCTAGGGCGGTGTCGACGGTTGTGGCTCCGCCGAGCGCGCGCCCGCTCAGAGGGGACTCTCGACTGCTTTCGCCGGCCCCTGGCCCCAAACAAATCTGTATTAATCACGCTCAGAGAGCCACCACCACACCATCAAATCGACTGCTGGACTACTAATCAACTCTGCGTCATTGGCGCGGAAGTGGCGAGCTCGTCGCGGCGCCCTTCGCTGTCATTTTCATCTCGAGGCCGCCGGGCGCTGCCCATGTGGACCTCATGGCGTCAACAGCCTCTCCGTTCACGGCGAGCTGGATCGAGAAAGCGCAGAGCGAGTCGGCCAGGCGGGGCGCGGCTCGTCGCCGTCTCAGCCGCGGTCGACGCGCCGGAGTGATGTTTCCGCTGAGTGCCAGACGCGTCTCGCTCGTCGGGTTTCCGGTTCGTTTCATTTCCGGCATGCGCGGCGGCACCTCGGGTCGTCGCGGTTTCTAATTGCGGATTAATCACCGGCGCACACGCCAGGACAGACGGCGGCGCGCAGACTGAAGCAGCGGGCAGGCGTCCCGCTTCATTACGGGCCGTGCTAATTCGGCATTGTTAACGTCCGCTCAGTGAAGAGCACTCCCGAGTTCACATCGCCAAGAGGTTGGCGACGTTCAGTGATGGCGTAATCTTGGTACCGAGCGTGGAATAAAAAGTCGGTGTGATCATGAGCACGTTTCACTTCAACAAGCGGGAATGCCTTGCCAGTCCCGTCAAATGCAATCCACATTTAATGGACGTGTGTGCAATATGGCGATTTTATCATTGGCATGTGGGTCAGGGCGCTCGCGTGGTACTTGTCGACTGATGACATCAAGCTGATGATTCCAAACATCTAAATCGTGAGCTAACATCCGTTACCGAAAATCCACCTCTCACGCTGATCCGCTGATCCCAACTGTCGAACTAGTCGGGTTAGGCTCAGCCACCGAATTCGAAATCACAACATCTCGCAACCGTTACTATTCAAGGATTCCAATCCCATGTTACCTCTGTTCTCTCCCCACACTCCTCTATCTGATTATATCTCCTCTTGTCTGACTTTTCTTTCCCTCCCCCCCTCCCCAGCACTTGTACTCACCACCCTTGCCACTCTGCAGTTCTCTCAGGTTCCACAGCCGCAGCGCGAGACCCCAGCACAATTTCAGAGTCGCTTACCTGGAACAAAATGAGAACATAAATGTCAAACGGTTCACAAAACGACGAAGGGCAGTTGAGCACAGATGAGACCGTGCACCACAGCTTAAGTTCACATTCCTTATTGGGTCGCTTGAGTACCGTTCGCACTGCGCACACAATCGCAAATCAAGCCTAGCACGGTTAAAAAAGATGCAATAATTCGACGACGGCCGCGCAAACGACCAAGTAGCATTAGTACCAGCGCATTTTTAGGATCAGACTAATAAGACATCATTTAAAAAGTGCTAGCATAATTCACTTGTTGCGTAAGTAGGAGGAACTGAAATAACATCGCAATTACATCTGCGTTTTTCGATGCCCAGCGCCGGCTTCGCTACGCAGTTGTGACTTCAACAATAGATGACACAGCACGATGGTCTGCCGCCGCGTACAACCACAGCTGGCAGTGGCAAACCGTTCGACCGCGATGACACATGTGCCTTTGTGGTAGTGGCTTTGTGATCCGTCACCACGTGCATATGCATACTTCCCCACCTCGTGGCGCGGGGGTTGGGGAATAGCGAGCGACAATGGGCGGACGGGGCGACGGTACCGTTTGGGCGGCTCGATGGGATTGTTGGGTGCGGTGTTGGAGGGAAGGGGAGGGGATATGCGATGTGAGACCAGTCAGACCGTGACCGTGGGTAGTGTTCGCTGGGCGGTGCAGGGGTGGCAGAGGGCGGGACCAGAGGGGAGGGGTGATATCACCAGACACGGTACCGCCGCGTGGTGCGTGTGCCGCGTGTGGCACCATCCCCTCCCGACACAGGTGTGCGGCACCACCTGGTTCGGCTGACTGCAGGTCACGGTCACGGTGAAGCGCAGCTGGCGTGACCCACGGGGGACGTGGAGGGCTGTCGCAGCCCGGGGACGGGACGAGCTGCCACGGCTCGAGGGTAACGACGAGCTGCCACGGCTCGAGCGGTTGTAATAGCGGCCGTGACGGCAGCACAGAATAGAAACGGCCAGTCAGCCCGTGAAAAACGGAGCAGCGTCACGCCAATTGACAGCCTAATTAAAAGCCCGTGACTGGCGTGATTCATGGCTGACCCGTGGACGAAAACAAATCACATTGCGACGAAAAATTGCAAGATCTGGGGACAAGTCTTTTGAAATTGAGATCCAGCTGTCCCAAATCCGTCGCCCATTTTTCGTCCTACAAATTTATGCATAGCCGCTGCGGGGCAAATACCTAGACAAAGCCGTGTGACGATTTCATTAGAGGTTTAGATTTTGAGTATAACAAGCATTATGCGGAGCATAGCTTTGAAGCTGATATAGCCTATCTGCGGTATCATTTTTCATGTCACTGTCGCTATGGAACGCTTCAAAAACCGCAACTGAATTACTCAATCGCCAACATGGCCAACTGCTGGTCGCTGAGGGGAAAGACAACAAAGCGTCGAGGATCGTTTCGCAGAACGTACCGATCCACCTGGCGGAACACGCCCGTCTACTGGACACTGGGCTCGTCGCTATCTGTCCCGATACGGGCTGTCCACAGACGATGGCAGTCAGGCGAGCCCACGTTGCCAACCAGTTGCCTGGGCCGAACATCGTGCCAAGGGAACACCAGCCGCGCCGAGCCGGGTCGAGCCGATGCCCAGCCCAGCCGGGTCGGGTCGCGTTGGACCGGGCCGGGCAGGGCGGCATTCCAGGTAGGTGTATTTATACTGGTGCCGCGAGCGACGGCAGGTTATCGATCGCGTGATGATCAGTCCCAAATAGCCAAGTCAAATGTCACAAACAACGGCGCAAGTCCAAACACCGTATCTCGCCACGAGCAGTGACCATGCTGTTAACTATGCCATCTGTCAGAGCAGATAAACAAACAAAAACGCCTCACCCAGCTCACAGATGACACTTTAACCATGGACGAGATAAATCAGTTCTATGCAAGGTTGCAGTAGAGTTTCGCGACTTCAGCGAAACTGTTACAGCGCTGACTGCTGTCTTGGAAATGTGACCGATCCGACTCGTCGCTACTCGGGCCGGATGTAAACAGTCGCAGCGTCAGATCAGACCGGGGTGCCGTGATACGTAAGAGCCACAGCTCAGTCCCACAGCTCACTGGTCCGGGGGCTCAGTCCCTGAGCTTGGTCTGGTCCGGAGGCTCGGGCAGCTCAGGGAAGCAGTCGGCGGCTGCAGCAGCCCTTAGATAGCCGGCGGGGCTGCATGCTCGGTAGGATTTTGTGGGATGATCCCCTGGGCCCCAGCACGGGAGGTAAAGTTCATCAGCACGACATGGTAGTCTCATGGCAACGTTAGGCCACATTCCTGGACCAGCCACCGCAGTCTGACAGGATCAACTGGCTTCGAAACTGTCTTAGCTGACTTTCGTCTCACTTCATCATAACAGAATTAAAACTCAAGCCCCGGACTTGTCTTTACACTGACGCACGGAACTATGAAAGTGATGAGCTGGTTGTTGGGAGTCGTCACCCCTGACCCAGGCGCAGGAAGAGACCATCCGTGACACGGCTCACGTTACTTCTTCATGCCACGCTGCACACTATGCCATCAACACTCATTGACCTACTCCACACGGCCTGCACAAGTGACGATTTTAACGCCACCGTAACCCATCCACCCACCGGCACTCCAGAGTCGTGACCCGGCATCCGACCGGCGAGATGACATCACGCCCTGACGAAATACACAAGGTGCGCGCGTGACAGCGTAACCTATCCGGTGCCACCTGCACCAGCCGCTCATAGCCGGTGACGGCATGCGGTCACATAAATCCGCCGCCGCGCACGCCGGCCGCCAGCGGGGGGCGTCGAGCGCACATTGCCGGTCACGGCGGAGTGTTGACAGGTGACAGGGTCGTAACGTGACCCCGACCCAGCGAGGTCAGCCTCTGCCGGCGACAAACAGCGAGAACCGCCGCCGTTCGCGTCACAACAGCCGGCAGGAGCGGCGGCGACACGGCGACACAAGTCACGGCCGGGCAGGCGCCCGCCGCCGGCCGGAGAGTTATGGCCGTGCCGACAGGGTCGGGTCGAGCGCTGATGGCGACGATGACGAGTTGAGCACGACGACGCCGTATATTTGTAGTACAGCGTGCCTAGTGCAGCCAAATAGTGAGGCTTAATGAGTGAAGCTGTGAGTACGGGACCCAGAGTGCAAAGCCATTACAAACATAGCTGATGAAAGCTCATGCCAAGATCATCATAAATATCGATAGCATGCATGAATGTATGCACGATAAAAACAGCATGCAAGTCGTAAAACCAGTAAATCTTCTTTAATAAGCTCAACAGGTTATATACTGCATCAAAAACCCGATCCACTAGTTCGATGAAATCGAAACTTCTTTAATGGTCATGTGCATTGTGCAGTGAATGACATATAATACATCATCTGAGGCCTCTTGCACCAAACTACCTAGCTAGGTAGAATCAGCAAAATACCTACCTAGTAAAACTACCTGCGGCGGCAACTTCTCTTGCACCATTCTACCTACCTGTCCAGGTAAATTTGACAACTCGCGTTTTTAGGATTGGATGTTCGGCGGCCTGGGCAGGAAAAAGGTGCTAGAAAACGAACGGAAAAGAAAAAAATTGTTTTGTTAAAACGTATTTTCAACCTTTACTAGCTTCCAATAATTATTTCGAATACATATATATCTTTATTCAATGAAAAGATTGAGTAAATTGAATTATAATGTGGTTGACGTTGCCATGGCAACAAAGTGGCGTATCTGACCGCTTGTTTCAAAACTACTCATCCTTCGCGTCCCTTGGTATTCATATGATAATTCTTAACTATTAATTCTCAATCGAACGAGCAAAAGATAAGTGCAAGCGGAGATGAAGCGAATAATTGCGGAACAGAAAAAGCTTGAACTGTTTCAGCTCATCCGTGATGAACGCAAGGTAAGTGCGACTGCGCTATCCAAGATAGGAGTCGCGTTTATATAGCATTTTTGACGAGGCTCTAGCTAATTTATTTTGCGATAATTTCGATGCCGTGATCTTCGCATATTTAGAGGGTAGGCATAATTTTGTAAATTACAATGCACCATTAGCATCCTTGGCAACATCACGGGTGGAGCTGTAACATTGCAACAATCCCTGTGTTCCTAAACGTGCTTGATGATATGATGTGTACCTAGGTATCCAAGCTCAGATAAAATTAAACAATTCCTTAATTTTTTCTTTGTTCGGGGGAGGCATTTAATGTGGGCAATTGAATTAAATGGTTCCAGTTCCTATGTAGTGTACCGTCACTATTAAAAAAGAGCATGCAATTCTACATAGTTATGCATACGTACTAGACACAAATTTCAAGCAGCCTCATGGCTAATTTTATATAGGTAGTAGACTCTGGTACCTACCAGAGATGCGAAGTCGATTAGTTTTCGGTGACTCAGACTCCGACTCCAGCTTTAAAAGCTCCGATTTCGACTCCGGGTGGCATTGTCAACTCCGACCGACTCCAACTCAGACAGACGCCGACTCCAAAGCCTTGCTAGGTTTGTGGAGTCGCTGGATTTCTTGTGACTCCGGCTCCAGTTTTTCCAAACGTATCCCGACTCAGACTCCGATCAGAACTGTCGACTCCGCCCGACTCCGACTCCGACTTACACCGCAGCTCTGGTAGGCACCATCACCATATGCGTCTATACCTTTTATAGTGCATTCGTCCGTCTGGATAGTGCGTAGTATGTGGCCGGAAATGGAATAGATTTTCGCAAATTTGAATTCGCTTGATAGACTTAACGCGTTAAAAATGAAATGCAAAACTGGGACAAAATGGCTAAATGTGGTCAACGCGACACGGGCTCGGTCCCTGCAAAAGATGGCACTTTTTCCCCCCCCCCCCCTGCTAAGGTGAAGAGGGCCTTGAGTCTTGAGACGAAATGGGCTATGAATGTCCGAGAAACAGATAGCTAGTTATGAATATGTAAGACACCTCTGTCTTCCACGCGCTCTGCCCGCGCCCGCGCGCCGACGCGCGACGGCTTCCCGCCACAGCCGGGAACACGATTTAGCCGTGCATCCTTCACGACTCTCTGCCGTGAAGGATGCATATTATACCTACACACAAATCGTAATTACTATTCTTAAATTATGCGTCGTCGAAATATCATCAAAATACAGCTTTTGAGGCCAGCTGCAATGCCCAAGTCAGGATGCTTATTTACTTGGAAAAGCTACTTTTCCAAATCTCAATTTTCCGACATCGATACGCAAATTGTAGTATCGATACGCAAATTGTAGTCTGAACTCTATACGCAAATATAGAGCTGAAAGATTATCGTCATCACGAGTCCGGTTACATTGCAGCACACAGGAATTCATATAATACAAACACGAAAGACGCAAGATGTGGAGGGGGGAGTCAGAGATGGACGCGGGTGGATCAGAGACGAAATTAGAACCTTCGGAGGTTCTAAATCGGAAGGTTTACAAATGTTCGTCAAAAAATGTTCGTCATTTTCAAAGAGTCCTCGAATATCACTTCTTCGCAGGCTTCTGCGCCCGTAACATTTTTATTATGATAAATGTTACCATTAAAGTTTGTCATTTTTAAACTTCTCTAGGCCGAGGGAGCGACAACATTGCGTTGTCATTAGAGGAAACATTGGAGGAAAAGTTATTCCGATGCCAATAGATTCTTGGATTACAAACTCATCGACCACGTTGTGCAGTTTAAGGCTAACTTTTAGTATCCTTCGAGCATTACAATTTGCTTGTTCTCCTACAAAGTAGACAAATCATTTGCAATGGTGAATCTCGGGAGGCGGAGTAGGTACTTATGATGCCGGCTGTATCTGCTGAGTTTTGCCTGATTACCCACCCAACAGATATGGAAATAAAGTGTGTCAACGTTCTCCTTTTCCAGACACTTTATGGAGAGTTTAAGGGCCCCAATGCCCGCTCGCGTAGGCTTCAAGAATGGGGTCGCATACGCGAGCGAGCCATTCAACTTGGCCTGATAAATGACGCAACATCGACGCAAAGCATGCTGCAGGGTGTTATAAAAAACACCCAAGACCGGACAAAAAGTGAGTAACCATTGTTACCACCACTACGACACCGCAATTAAGCACACTGCAGTGCTAGCACAATGGCATTTAACCAAATAACGCACCTTATATCATATACGCAGACTTCAATTTTTTTAAGGCGTTAGCTCTTTAGAAACAGCTTTTGACGAACCGAGCCGCACATGTTTTGGTTGATATCCCCCACAGAGCAAATATTCACGCCGTACACTTACCTCTGTTGCAGAAAAATTCCAGCAAAAGAACCAGTCGGGGGCAGGTGCAGTGGTCTGGACCCAGCTCGACGATACCGTCATGGATTGCGTGGGTATGTTACTTTCAGCCTTCAGATGTAACGGTACATAGTAGTGTTAAATATTTTTTATGCATTGTCTTTGGAGGGCTTAAACAAAAGATCAGACATGTCCGAGCTAAGCTCTTTTTCTCCTGTGTTAGTGTGTTAGAAGCTATCGTGACAAAAAAAAGAAAACCTTTGGGACGGCACCCCTTCCCAGACCCAAGGGATTAACATCGTAAGCGTGAGGCAAAAGGGCGCCAAGATCCGCTGTCTCTTACATCCCTTTGTTTTTTTTTTCACTCCGGCAGGCAGAGACAACTACCTGACGTCGTTTAAGGTTCCTGGCGGGATTACCTGGGGCCAGATGATGACGAATCAGCAAGAAGCCGGCCCAGAAACCGCACTGACAACCGCGGGAGAAACGTCATCAGCACCCAGTATCTACTTCACTACAGAAGACGGTCGGTTGATAGGGCTGGGCACGCCGCTCGCCCAGTCTCCGGCGACCAATGCGACCACGATAACCACCACGGTCCTCTCGACCGTCCCCTTGACCAGGGCAGGCTCGTCAAACGCAACAACCCCTTCGACTGGTCCGCCCCAGGAAAGCGCCATGGCTCTCTCGTCCGGCAAGGCCTCGTCAGCTGACGCAGCCCCTTCGACTGTTCCGTCCCACTCCCAGGGGAGCGCCACGGCTCTCTCGACCGGCAAGGCCTCGTCAGCTGACCCAGCCCTCCCGACTGGAGCGTCCCAGGAGAGCGTCACGGCTCTCTTGACCGGCGAGGCCTCGTCAGCTGACGCAGCCCTCTCGACTAGAGCGTCCCAGGAGAGCGCCACGGCTCTCTCGACCGGCGAGGCCTCGTCAGCTGACGTGGCCCTCTCGACTGGAGCGTCCCAGGAGAGCGCCACGGCTCTCTCGACCGGCGAGGCCTCGTCAGCTGACGTGGCCCTCTCGACTAGAGCGTCCCAGGCATCGGAGAGAAACCGCGATGAGATTGAAGCGCGCCTCCAGCTCATCCGCTCAACGCCACTCTTCAGACGGACGCCGGAGGAGGTGACCCTGCTCCGCACCTACCTCAGCTTACAGATCCTGGAGGACATGCTGCAGGGAGGAACTCCCACACCAACCCTGACATATGTGCTATGAGCAGGGCTGCGGAACCGCAGCTAGAGCTGGATCCGGAGCCGCCGGAGCCGGCATCTTTTGCCCGGAGATGGAGGCGGAGCCGGAGCTGTCGAAGTTGGTGGCGACTCTGGCTAAATTTGTTTGTTTTGTTTTTAAGGAAAAAGTTAACTTAATTAGTTCGGTTTGACAGTCACGTGAATAAAATACGCCTCAAATATATTATTCCTTTCTTGTGAAGGAAATAAACCGTTTTAAGAAGTAATTAGTTTCAAGCTTCCTCTTCATGGTTCTGGCTTGGACTGAATCGTATGTCACATGAATTGTAAACGAACACCTAACCATTACACATGGTAGGTACAGAAGTTTCACTCAAAGGTCAAACATAAACACACTGTCAATCGCAAATACCTTACAAAAAGGCTAGCAACCATCAAACATGTTTTTATTTGCTGCTCTCCCTCTCCCTTTCGCTCCCTCTCCCGCTCGCTCCCTATACCCCTCGCTCCCTCTTCTCTCCCTATCCCCAAGCGTATACAAATACACAAACACTCAAGCACACGTACATAGCCATAGGCCACTGGCCATGAGTAGACGACTCTGCTGTTGCCTAGCTGCGGTTGGCCCGAGTATCGACCAGCTAATGGCGTACGAACAGCCGCACGAGGTCATTGCGGCGCACAAGACCCGCCCGCCTCTCGGCGCCTGCCGCCGGCAGCTCTGCCGCCCCGTCAGCTGGCTCCTGCACCATTCCTTCATCTTGCCTCAGTGGTCCGAGCCATTCGCCGAAGTCACCGCCCTTGATACACATATTGTGTAGGATAAAGCACGTGTGAATAACCGCCACGCAGCGGGCCACACTTTTCAGGCGCAGCCCGAACTCGAGCGCCCCGAACCGCATTTTCAAAACGCCGAAGGCGTTCTCCACCACCACACGAGTGCGCGCATGAGCGTTATTGTATGCGCGCTCCTCGGCGGTGGTGGGGTCTGCAATGGGCGTCATGAGCCAGGGTGACAGGCCGTAGCCACTGTCCCCCAGCATCATGGCGCCCATTACAGGATTTCCATTCCGGAAATAGTCGGGCAGCCCTGATGTGGCTAAAACTCGGGCGTCGTGCACCCGACCGCCACAATGCACGCTCAATGCAACGATTGAGCGGTCGGGTGCAGCGACAGCCATCACATTGAGGGACGGGAAGCCTTTCCTATTGATATACGCCTCCCGCTGCTCTCGGGGGACGGTGAGGCGTACATGGGTGCCGTCGATGCACCCCACGATGTCGGGCAGCCCGGCGACCTGTCGAAAGTCCTCCTTGAGACGTCCGAGAGCCGCCGGGTCGCTCGGCCAGGTGATGGCCCCTGGGCAGCGGTGGATTATCGCATCCGTCACGCGGTGAATGGCGCGGCACACGGTGGCCTCGGAGACGCCGTGGCCGTCTCCCACCAGGCGCAGATACGCACCGGTAGCATAGAACCGCAGCGACACGAGCAGCTGCTGGCGAGGTGTCAGTGCCATATTTAAGCCCGTGTCGTGCGCCACCGTCCCGCTAATGAGGTCTTCCAGTGCAGTGGCGACCTCGACGCTGAGGCGGAAGTTTTCCCTAAAGAGAAACGGGATTTAAGGTTATATAAAGCTTTCGAATGAATACAATGACACTCTTGATATGCGGCATACAGGCACCCATGCACATTAAATAGTCACCTGAATGTCGTTGGATGCAGTGCTCCCATGTTGATGCGCGGACGGAGCCTCCGCTGGCGGCGCTCCCGAGGCTCAAAATTGTCATCATCGGCCATAGTCAATCCGGCAATGCATAGGCGTTATCTGGAAGCAACATGCATAAGATGGTTTTGATCCGTGGTCGGCACCATTTAAAAGCATGGCTTGCGGACACAAGTGGGTACACCTACTCATCGCAATGTTTTTTTACGGCACATGTACGTCAGCAACTATGACTATGACAAAACTGCGTATCACACATGTAAGTAGGTAATTTAATCCTTAACCCGCGCATGACTGGGATATTTTCCATAACGCGAGTGGCTGGAGACGGGGGGGGGGGGGGGGGGGGGCGACTCTACAGAGCCCCCTCCTTATCTCCGAAACTAGGTACTGGGCCGATCGTCAAAATTCAAACGGCCTCTGATAGCCCTGGTAAAACTGACGAGCGAAACCTTATTTCATTGACCTCGAGGAGTCAGAGGGGCCCTAGTGGTCAGATACAGACACTAGCAGTTATTCACAGGAGGCACCAGCCGCCAGGTGAAGGATCTTATCTGTCAGGCTGGTTTTTGGAGTGGTTTGGAGTTTTTTTTTAATTTTCAACATATGTTTTGGGTCTCCCCCCCCCTCTCTCTACAGGGGAGCGTACGAGACCGTCTTTATCTATCTGCTAACGCTTTGGTCCGCGAATATAGAGGTCAACAATGCTGTGGCTCCCGAGTGCCCTTCTAGCGCGACACCTATATGAAATGTAGAGAGACATCTAACGGCTGTTCCCACTTCCCACTCCGCAGTGGAATGGCCATCGCCCGTCATAGGCGGATTCATGCGGGCCGTGGCCGAACATGACGGGACTAGCGACTAGCCCCTTCCATTAGAAATTAATTAGTTGCAGAAGGTGATATGTTTATAACAAAACGAGTGACTGAGGACGTTTTAGAGTGAAGCTGTTTATCTTAACAAATTACAAAGAGTTTTGGCTTCTTTGGCCCCTGCCTGACGGCTGACTGACAACGCCACTGCATGAATATCGATAACAAAGTTGTTGCTCGTCAACAAATAAAATTGAAATACATGTTACAAAAAATATAAACAACTCAAAAACATGTGGCTTCTACCGGCAACATGAACATTGAAAATAGCACAAAATTTTAAATGCCTATTTATACAAGTTATTTGCTACATCGATAGCTTGGAAGAGTTCATTTCTCTATGACGGGGGGAAATAACGCGGTCTGGCGCAGTTAGCGCGCGAATTGTTGGGGTCCATTTCCACGTGGCGGGAGTCGAGGCCATTGAAGTTGAGAATCGGTATATTTGGTGGATTCAAGGGCATGTGTTACTGAATAAAATTTCCCCATGGCTGGGAAATTCACATCTGTGTATAAGGGTCACCAAAGCCATTTTTCGTGATTGACTGTGAGAAGGTAAGGTGAGGGAAGGGGAGGTAATGGCAGCTCATGCTGGAATGATACCTATGCATAGTGCACAAGTGATTCCAGGCAAAATTTAACATGGGCAAAGCTTCGTAAATCATATTACTGTTTTTAACCAGAAGAAATAAAACAAGTATCAGATGAAATCCCTCTGTTGCACCCTAGGCTAAGAATTAAATAAAAACCTGTATTTCACGACTCAAACCACGTCAACCTAGAAAAATGTTCATAAAATACGTTCTTATAAGTGACTGCATTGGGTGGTGCTGAATTCCAGTTTAGTTGGTGCGAGCTAGAGCACATCAGTAACAAGTGCAGATTTATAAGTTCTGTAAAATTCAGTAGGCGGAACTATGGTCAAGCGTACCCATTTTCGGGAACGCATTTTCGTTCCCATGTTTGGGAACGATAAACCCAAATATGGGAACGCCATGTAGGCATTAGTTAAAACAAGAAAAAGAACCGTTAAATGACGTTCAAAAAATATAAAACGATTGTGAACCGCCTGATATTTGTCTCAATATTGTTGGGAAAGAGTTTGATATTGTAAGGCCCATCGTAGTTTCAAATCGTTCCCCTATTTCTAAAGCAGTCCATCATCCGGGCCGCGAGCCCAAATTTGGGAACGCTCTCGTACACTGGCGCTGCGAGCGTTCCTTATTATGGGAACGGCGTACCCAAAATTGGGAACGATTTCACCGAAGCCTTTCAGGGGCTCTTTTCATTAACAAGCATCACGTCCAACGCCGCAAATTATTGTTAACGCAACAATCATCAGATGACCTTTCCGGCAAGACCGTCGCATGTTTCGCCCGGTCTTCTGCGCTTTTATTCCCGTCGATCTCGCAGCGGGCACGCCCCCCTCTGCAGGATTACGTAATTCACAACGCTCAGCGATGTTCAACAAGGTCTTCCATACCTATATCCACCGTCCGTGCCGAGGGTGGAGACATGTCAAGCACCTGTCTGTTTATCACCGATAGTTGACGAGTACAAGGAAGTATCCAAAAATGGGAACGCTGAATATGTTACACCTTTAAAACACCTAGTCCCAATGAAAATCTAGTTTTTTCCTTTCTTAATGAGTGTAAGTGGCAAAAGGCCTGGTAGGATGGGCACGAGGAATGATCGAAATCAGCATAGAAATTATAAATAAGCCACACAGAGCGACCTATATAAGAGAAATTCCCCCAAAACGATCATGCTTAGAAACACGGAAGACAAAAACCACGCTCATGACGCTCCTTATAAAACAACGCTAAACAGCTAGCATCCGAATAAAATATGTCTTTCCGGGCTGAGAAATACCGCTGAATAATTTTCGACCACTTAAACTGAGTTTACAACAGTAGTTCGGTAAAATCACGCACGTTCTACGCGGTCGTCCGCCTCGACACCAAATGTCAACAATACTACCTCGGGACTGTCCGCGTGTTCGCTTGCATATGTCAGCATCTGGTGTCGCTAGTATGAAACTTCATAACCAGGCGAAAATTATTATACTTGACCTCAAAATGTAAAAAACGCTTCATTTTCCTTAAAATTGCATGTTAAATGTAGTGTAACCCATGTTTTCACCATTCCGTCATTTCAAAAAATCATTAAAAATATCATTCGACGGTCAATTTCCTTGTTCAACGGTCAGATTAAAGATAATTTTATAGAGACTTCGTAGATACTTAAATTAGCGTGCACTTTTTTGAGACGTGATGCACTAATGAGTTTTAGTGGGCGAACGGCCGAAAAATTACCTTCCGTCCTCATAAATGGGAACGCCCGTTCCCATATTTGGGAACTCCGTTCCCAAAAATGGGAACGTTCCTATATTTGGGTACTCATGACCATAGTTCCACCTACTGAATTATTGATAGTGCTCCACAAGGCCACTTTCTTAAAAAGCCCTGTTGATGAAAATATAATTTTACTAGCCAGTCATTCACATGGGTCCGAGAAATTGACCTGGGATCTGAATTATGTTCTTAAACTCTAATACCACTGATCTTGATCTCACCTACAATAGCATCACAATCATGTATCCAGTTACCTATATAATTTGTTGATGGTTTCATTGGTATCATACATCATTACCTCTGTCGGTG